TAGCTCCTGTGGAGAGAGGGGCTCCCGCCGAGGCGAAGCACCCGGAGAACCGCCAGGTCCCGCACCGCCAGACGCCACAAGGGGAGGTCCAGTGGCCGCAGGCTCCGTAGCTCCAGGCTCAGTAGCTCCAGACGCAGCACCCCCTGGCTCAGCACCCCCAGTCACAGCACCCCCAGGCTCAGCACCCCAAGACTCCGCACCCCCAGGCTCAGCACCCCCAGTCGCAGTACCCCCAGGCTCAGCACCCCCAGACTCAGCACCCCCAGGCTCAGCACCCCCAGGCTCAGCACCCACGCGCGTAGCACCCCCAGAGTCAGCACCCCCAGGCTCAGCACCCGCAGCAGGACCAGAGTCACCAGCAACCTCGACCGGCTCGACTGCGTCTACCTGGGACACACCTGAAGGGGCAGGACCCTGAGGGGGAAGGGGGTCTACCGGGGGGGGACCTGGCACAAGGAAGTGCGGTGGCGGGGGGAGGGAAGGAGTGCGGTAGGGGAAGAGGCGGTAGAAGGGGACTGACTCGTCGAACGTGACGTCCTGGGAGGACAGAACACGACGAGAGGAGGGGTGGTAGAACTGCCACCCTGGGGCGTCAGGGGGGAAGCCGAGGAAGACACAGGGAGCAGCACGAGGGGACAGCTTGTCCGCAGACAAGTCGCGGACAAACGCCCGAGATCCCCAGACACGGAACGCAGACGCATCGCCGACCTTCCCCGTCCACAGCAGAACTGGGGAGGTCTCCGGCCGGGAGACCCTGGGGTGAAGGTTGATCTGATGCGCCGCGTACCGAACCGCAAACGGCCACAGAAAATGGGGGGCAGTCGCATGCATCATGGACGTACGAGCGACGTCCATGACCATGCCAATGCGGCGCTCAGCAATCCCATTTTGCTGTGGAGAGTCCGGAAGCGTAAAGGTCTGGCGGATGCCTCGTGCACGACAGTAGGCTCGCAGAAGGCCAGAGGAGAACTCTCCACCTCGGTCAGAGTGCAGACGCAGAACAGGAAAGTCCGAGCCGAAGCTCCTCCTGAGCTGGAGACGAGCTGCGCGGATCCAGTCGATCAACACCTCAGTGACATCACCCTTGCTGCGCAAGGGGAAGACTGTGGTGTAACGCGAGTAGTCGTCAACCACCAGCAGGAAGTAGCGCTCATGACCCTGCCCACGGACGCGGGCCGGGCCCCACACGTCCATGTGAAGCGTCTGCAGAGGAGCCTCTGTCGGGGGAAACTGGGAGGAGTGAGGGGCAGCCCGGAGCCGCCCCTCGACACAGGGGACACAGGAAGGTCCGGGTCCCGAAGGAAGGGGAGGGAAAGACCGGGGAAGACCAGAGACAAGGACACGGGAAGCCATGCCCCGAAGACGAGGCAAGGAGGGGTGGCCAAGACGGTGGTGCCACAGGAGAGTCTCATGAGACAGGCGGCGACACGAGCAGGGGGCAGACTCAGGACCAGACCTGGACGCTGCAGCAAACACCTGACCCGACGCAGCTACCTGGCCAGACGCAGGGACAGGAGGAGACTCAGTGGTCAGGGTGTAGAGACTCGACCCCGGCCGACGCGAAAACGTGGCCAGGTGTCGGCCTGTGCGGGCGTCCGAGCAGTGGGTCACCCGCTGACTCGCAGGAGTAAACTGGTGAACCCCCGCATCCTGCAGGTCAGCACCACTCACCAAGTTCGTCGAGAACGAGGGGAGGTACAGACCAGACAAGGTGCCCGAGGGGGCAGCCGGACACGGGAGGACAGTGGAGAAGTGAGAGAGGACAGGACCCCCAGAGGGGTCAGCTAGGGAGACTGCAACCGGCCGGCCAAGCGGCGTAAGTGTGGTGCGGTCTCGAAAGAAGGAGCGAGAAGCTCCTGAGTCAAGCGTGAAGGTGAGGGAGGCCGAAGCCGACGCAGTACCTGAGAGCGCAGCCTCACCAGTACCTGAGAGTGCAGACGCACTGGCACCTAGAGCAGCAGCCGCAGAAGTACCTGGCGCAGCAGTACCAATGCCCGGGTCGGGCGGGAAACACCGGTAACAGTCACCCTCCTCACTAATAGTCACAGCATACATGGCAGCAAGGATAGCATCAAAGTCAAGATCAAAGATAGCTACGCCAGCCCTAGACAGCTCTCCCCAACGGGGAATCTCACTAGCCTCGGGGAACTGCTGACGCCAAGCGTCCGTCAGGCGGCCAAAGCAGCGCTGGGTGGGGTGGGCACCCCCACACTGCTCACCCACGCGGTCGCCGGAACGAAGGACGTAGGTGCACGGACCAAAACCCCCACCCCGCTGACGCTGCGTGTACCACTCACGGAGCTGCTGGGGCGGGGGGATGTCCCGCGAACGCTGCTGCTGCTGCTGCTGCTGCTGCTGACGCTGGCCACCACCAGAGCCGCTACGCTGCGGGGCACCACCCCGACCAGCGCCACCCCCTCCGCCACCGCCGCCTCCACCTCCACCACCACCGCTGCCTCCGCTCCCACCGCTGCCGCCACCACCGCCTCCTCCTCCGCTGCTGCCACCGCCACCACCGCCCCCGCCACCACCCCCACCGCCACCCCCACTCCCTCCGCCGCCTCCACCGCCACCTCCACCGCCCCCGCCAGTTCCACCCGCGCCCTTGCCCCCCTTGCCCCTGCCAGGGCGGCGTCTCCCGCTAGGGGCAGACGCCGCGCAGACCGACTCAAGACCAAGCAGGTCGGCAGCAGCAGCAGAGGCAACAGAGGGCAGCAGGGGGGAAGGAGAACACCCCTCAAAGATGGGGGTGCGAGGGTCACCACGAGAGGCTCCTACAGCGACGATGCTCTTCTCCGCCGCCAGGAGGGACTTCTCGAGGAGGTCGACAGTGAGAGTGGTGGGACAGACTGAGAGGAAGTGGTCCCTGACTACGCGAAGGGAGTCAGGGAGGCGTGTGACTATGTAATAGAGAGTGATGTACATGGGGGGGGGGTTCTTGGCGCAGAACTCAGCAGGAAGGGCGGCGCGGTAGCGAGTGTCACTAGTGCGGAGGTGCGTAATGAGGTCAGCGACAGTGGGAAAGGCAGCAAGGTCAGGAAAGAGGTACGGTAGCATGAGGCGGCTCAGGGCAGCAGTGGCAGGGGAAGAGTAGCGCGCAACTACAGCGTCGTACAAGGTCTGAGCACTCTTGTACTGACTAAAGTGCGCGCGCTCAGTGGTAGGCAGGTGACGACGCACAGCAAGACGTGCAGCAGCATCGCGGGTGGCCCACTGAGAGCGAACAGTGGTGTCAGCATCAGCAGCAGGGGCAGGAGAGGCGCCAGAGGTGAGGTCAAAGAGGGAAAGACCGTCCGTCCTATCGCACTGTAAGAACAGCTGCAGGTCGTCGACCCAGACCTCAAAGTCAATGGCTCGACCCTCAGCGTCAAAAGTGAGGACACTAGGGGTAGCCATGACGACGACAGTGTAGTAGTGCAAGCAGTAGGGGAAGGGCACGCAGTAACAGTGGTGCTGTGCTCACCAGGCAGGGCAGGTCGGGCGGCTCGGTAGTAGGGCGGCCCGGCAGCTGGGCGGCTCGGCGGCTCGGCTGCTGGGCGGCTCGGCTCCCGGGCGGCTCGGCGGCAGGGCGGCTTGGCGGCAGGGCGGCTCAGCGGCTCGGCTCCCGGGCGGCTCGGCGGCAGGGCGGCTCGGCGGCAGGGCGGCTCGGCTCCCGGGCGGCTCGGCTGCAGGGCGGCTCGACGGCTGGGCGGCTCGGCGGCTGGGCGGTCGGCTGCACGGCGGCTCGGCTGGTGGGCGGCCGGGCGGCTCGGCTGCAGCTGCTGGGCGGCTCGGCTGCGCTGCTGCTGGGCGGCTTGGCCGCTGTAGAGGAGCGGCGGGGCCGCTGCAGAAGGGCGGCGGGGCCGCTGGGTAGGGCGGCGGGGCCGCGAGATAGGGCAGCGGGGCCGCGTGGTAGAGTGGCGGGGGCCGCGCGATGGGGCGGCGGGGCCGCGAGGAAGGGCGGCGGGGCCGCGCGATGGGGCGGCGGGGCCGAGAGGAAGGGCGGCGGGGCCGCTAGGTAGGGCGGCGGGGCCGCGCGATGGGGCGGCGGGGCCGCGAGGAAGGGCGGCGGGGCCGCTAGTTAGGGCGGCGGGGCCTCACTATGGGGCGGCGAGGCCGCGAGGTAGGGCGGCGGGGCAGCGCAATGGGGCGGCGAGGCCGCGAGTAAGGGCGGCGGGGCCGCGAGGTAGGGCGGCGGGGCCGCTAGGTAGGGCGGCGGGGCCGCTAGGAGAGAGGCGGCGGGGCCGCGATGAAGGGCCGCTAGGGCGGCTCGACGAAGTGAGGGCCCGGAGCGCGACTCGGGCTGAGCGCGCTTCGGGCAGGAAAAAAAAAAAACGATGTGGTGGGCCCTAAGCACAGTTCCCAAGGGGGAACCTGCTCGATACCATGAGAAGATTTGAACAAGAATGAATGAACTATGAATGAAGTGAGTACATATAGGAAACCATAATTGGGTTGTACCCCCTATGGGATACCCCACTATAGCCTACACAACTGCATAAGCTATATATATGTTCTGACAACACACCCTCCACGGTCACAGCACACACCAGCCACCCACCCGCCCACCTCATCTGGCACAGGCAGGTACGCGACGGTGTTGCATCACAGTCACACGTAGCACTCTTGAAAATGCAAGAGAAGACACAGGGAACGCTCTCCCTGCAAGACAAGACACAGGGAACGCTCTCCCTGTAAGACAAGACACAGGGAACGCTCTCCCTGCAAGACAAGACACAGGGAACACTCTCCCTGCCCCCTTTTCCCCCAACCCCCACCCACCTCGCCCCTTTCCCCCCAACCCCATTCACCTCACCTGGCACGCGCAGGTACTTGATGGTGTTGCCTCGCACTTAGCACTGCGGAATGTAGCCGACAACACACATACCCTCTCAACGGTCAACGCACACACCACCGAAAACCCCACCCTCCATCCTCCCCGCGCTTTCCCCACGCACCTCATCAGGCACGCGCAGGTACTTGATGGTGGTGCCTCGCACGCACGTAGCCCTGCGGCATGCATGCGCCAGAATCGGTCCCCGTCCTTGGACGTGCACATGACCCCTCCCTTCCCTTCCCTTCCCTCGTGCAAGTTGTGAGCCGACTCCAACCACGTGAGAAGCAGCCTTTGTCCTCGCACGTGCAGAAAAAGCCACAGGGAACCACCACCCTTAACCCTTCTTCCCCAGCCCCCCCTCCTCCGCCCCCAACCACCCCCCCCCCCCATGCCCACGCACCTCATCAGGCACGCGCAGGTACTTGATGGTGTTGCCGCGCACGTAGCACTGCGGCATGCGCCAGAAGCGGTCGCCGTCCTTGGACGTGCAGATGACCTCGCGCAGGTGGATGTTCATCCACGTGTCACAGCTCACCAGATGCCCGTTGTACGTCTCCCCATTCTTCAGCTCTACCAGCTGAAGTGGACGGCAGCAAGGAGTGGAGAGGAGTGGAGAGGAGTGAAGCGTTAAGAGGGCGGGATGGGGGAGGGTAGAAGGGGAAAGAGAATGGGGACGCGCAGATGACCTCCTGCAGGTGGATGTTTCATCCATGTGTCAACAGAGCGCGAGTTGTGGTTTAGGCAGGTTGGAAACGCATCAACGAGACGGTGAGTCGAAATTCGTAAAAACAAATCGGGGTTTATACATCGATTTTATACATAACCCATTACCTGGACAATATTATAAGACCTAAACCTCAAAATGCACTTTAGAGGGACAGAAACCAACCGTAATGGATTGGTCCAATTCGAACCTTACCAAAGCGGGGGAGTGGGGAGGCACGAGTGGACTATATGATTCACACAGCACTCACAAACGAGAACTTAGGAACTCCAGTAACTAAGAAGTCAAACGGAAATTTCTTTGGAACTGCGTAAGCTACGTACCATGGGATGGCCTTGCGCCGTTTTGAGCAGCGACAACGGCAACTGGCGGGAAAAGGAATCGCGAGCACAGGAAGCGGGGGAAAATGGAGACGAAAAGAGACGAAAGGATACGAGCGAAGACGAGTGGCGTTAGGAACGAAAATATAATAAGCTTAAACAGGGAAAGCGCGAACCGCGGGGTGGCCAGCGTCCATACTGATAAAGTTTAGAAGAAAGAAGAGGGAAGAAGGGGGGTGCACTAGCAAGAATGGGGATACAAATAGGAAACCCTAGAAGGGTTGTACTCGCTATAGAGCACCCCACTACAGGCTAGAGCATAAGATAACATTCTGACACACCCCCATAGCCAAAGTGGGGTGTAATCAGCAGAGTAAGCAAAGGAGTACAAGCTCAGGGTGGATCACAATGTCACCACACATTCTGCGCACAAGTTCAAGAAGCAATAGTTTAAGTTCACAATTATGAGCAAAGCTAGTGGTAGTCACAACGGGCAAGTGAGGAGGAGGAGAGAGAGTGAGAGGAGAGGAGATAGGAGGCGACGGCTGAAGCTGCAGACACACAGGCAACAGGAGGCAGACTGGCACAGCGGCTACCGGACGAAGTCCCCGGAATACAGGAGTAACAGGCCCCGCGGCTAAAGTAGCGGCAGACGAGCAACGGACCCACGGGCGGCTGGCACAGCTGGCTACGACTGGGCTACCGGACGAAGTCCCCGGAATACAGGTGCTGCTGGCGACACGACGGCAACCTCCATTCAGCTTCCCCAAACTATCCCACTCCCCCCTGGCACATACCCGCTGCTACACCGCTAGCTCCACTCCCCCTTCACCCCCCCTTAGTACCACTCCACCGGCTCCAACACGTCCACCCCCCCTCAGCGGCAGCTGCAGCACAGGGAGACGGAGGAGGAGGAGGAGCAGGGAACAGTACACAGTGGGTGCACCCCCATACCCCGCACCCCCAAACCCTAATACAGGAGAATGGGGAGTAGGAGGGGTGGGGCACGAGTAGAAGCGCTGGGGGACAGTAGGGAGGGCAGGGGCAGCAAGGAGCGGGCCCACCACGGGCCTGGTAGGGTCGCCCGAACCGCGCGTAGGTGGCCTGAGCCGCGCGCGGGCCTGGCGCCGCCCGTACGGGCCGCGCGCGGGCCTGGCGCAGCCCGTACGGGTGGCGCGCGGGCCTGGCGCAGCCCGTACGGGTCGCGCGCGGGCCTGGCGCAGCCCGTACGGGTCGCGCGCTGCCTGTACGGGCCGCGCGCAGGCCACGACGGGCGACGGGGGGCGACGAACGGGTCCCCGTCGCCCGTCGCGGCGCCTCCCGAGGGCGACGCGACGGTTGACGGGGCCGAAGCCCGCCGCGCGCCTCGGGGCGCACAGCGGGCAGAGAACCGCCGCGCGCCTCGGGGCGCACGGCGGGCAGAAAACCGCCGCGCGCCTCGGGGCGCACGGCGGGAAGAAAACCGCCGCGCGCCTCGGGGCGCACGGCGGGAAGAAAACTGCCACACGCCACGGGGCGTGCGGCACCGAGTGTAGTGGTAGGAGTTGCAGCGGAAGCTAGGAGGTGGTAAGCCCACCCACAGGATCGATCCAAGGGGATCGACCTGCTCTGATAGCATGTTAAAGTTTAGAAGAAAGAAGAGGGAAGAAGGGGATTGCACTAGCAAGAATGGGGATACAAATAGCAAAACCCTAGAAGAGTTGTACTCGCTATAGAGCACCCCACTACAGGCTAGAGCATAATATTCTGACACATACCATCAGAGAAATCGTAGATCTGCCGAAAATTGGGGGATTTAGACTTTAGCGGGGGTAAACTGGCGGGTGTGGTAGGTAGTGGCTGCTTTCCGCGGATTTGTGGGATCTCGGCTTTCAGGTACAGAAATGGAGGTTCATCGGACTTTAGGAAGGGATTATATAACGCTTGATGGAGAGATTCTATGAGGCTGGACACCGCGGAAAATATTAGTTTCTGCCGGAACTGTGAACAGGGTCACTAATTTTTTGCTCAGAGCACATGGTACAGTAAGGGCGTGTTATGCAGTATGTTGTTGGGGCGTTGACAGTTTTTTAACGTGAAGTTGCTCGTTACAAAAATTGTGTTACCACACTCATAAAAACCGGTTACACCCGGTCCCACCCGAACCAAAGTCGTCTTGGACAACATTTGACAAGATTTGGAGGTGGCATGCCTTCGTAAGATTGGGGTCAAGTTCAGCGACTGGGCCCACAGAAACGCCACAAGTTCGTTCAATTCGCGAAAATACACCTCACGATCTCGAAACTCTGGTACGCCGGTGGCGTTTTAAGATCGCTTGCAAAGCACGTGCAAGTATACGAACCCTGTCAGGCAGAATTGAAGCGCAAACCGATTTTCCGTTTTACGTAATTTAAGATGGTCACAAGGTTGTAGCCGGGTAACTGAGCTTAGAAATGATAGCAATTTCAAGTTGCACAACACGCCCTAAACCTACACTGAACCAAATGGTGTATCTAGGCATTTGACATCCCGCGAGGTCCACCAGACCACATCACCAGCAACATCCGCAATGCGCGCGTTCTTCACCCGCCCCTCCCGTTGTTCTGGTAGATTGCGGTTTTCCTAACAGCGTGCTCCATTAGATTTCCGATCGCGCCGTGTGTTGTCACGCCTATTTGTCGCATTTGTGGTAACCACATTTACGAACACAGTTTCGCTCAAGTCGTTACCACTGGACTATACGAAACTCGTCCTTCTACCGTCGCATTGCGAGGTGAGCGAGTAGCAGTAACCTTTTTTGCAAGTGTCGCAAGCTGCGCACGAGAATCAGCTGCGCCAACCGAGGTCGGTTGGTGGCGTTGATGCGCTCTCCGACACCCGCGGATTGCCCTGCTGCGCAGAGAACGACCTCTGGCTGCCCCTCTAGGCTGCCCCTCTAGGCTGCCCCTCTAGGCTGCCCCTCTAGGCTGCCCCTCTAGGCTGCCCCTCTAGGCTGCCCCTCTAGGCTGCCCCTCTAGGCTGTGCCTCCGATATTCTCCTCCCCCTCTCGCCCTCTCGCCCTCTACGCCCTCTTCCTCCCTTCCCTCCCAACGTTCACCCGCATTCCCCTCCCCCTCTTCCCCCCCTCTCGCTCGCCCCCTCTCCGCGCCATGCGCAGGGGGGATGGGCGCGGCGGAGCGAGGGCACGGGGCGAGGAGCAGCAGCGGGGCGGCGAGGGAGGGCATGCTGCCGTCAAGCTCCGTGCAAGTGGGATGGGGTGGGATGGGTGTTGGAATTACTGAACAGGAATGAATGAACTAGCAATGAAAAGAGTACAAGTACCTAACCCTAGAATTGTGTACCCCCTATAGGCTAACCCACTGTAGCCTAAACTAACACAACATATATAATGTTTGACACACCCCCATAGGCAAAGTGGGGGAGAACTAGGGGTCACAAGACCAGTCAAGGCAAAGCAAGGCAAAACAAGCTCAGGGTGGATCTCAAGGATACCACACAAATTCCGAGCACAAGCAAGTGGTCACAAGACCAGTTCACATGCAGGTTTATATATAGAGATCACAGTACAACAGACTCAAGAAGTAAGCAAGTGAGGTCCAGTAGGCACAAGGACTAGAAGAGTGCAAAAGCGCTGATGGTCACAAGGCTGAAGCGCCTTGGTGAACACATCAGCAGTGTTGGCCTCAGAGGCCACGTAACGCAGGCGAAGCTGACCACGCTGCTGCAGCTCTCGAGCGAGGAAGTAACGCAGAGCAATGTGCTTCGTTCTGTGCTCCAGTCTGTGCTCCTCACACAAGGCAATGGCTGCCTTGTTGTCGACGTACAGCACTGGAGGAGAACGAGGCTGCTCTCCAAGGTCGGTCAGCAAGTAGGTGAGCCAGCGTAGCTACTGGGCCGCCATGGCTGTGGCGTAGATCTCAGCCTCACAACTGGAGCTGAGAACAGAAGAAGAGCGAGTAGAACGCCAAGAAACAGAACCAGAGCCAAGACTGAAGGAGTAACCCTGAGACGACCGCTGAGTAGCCTGGTCGTCTGCCCAAGAAGCGTCTGAGTGTCCAGTGAGAACAATTGGGACTCGCCCTCCAAGCACTAGCCCCATGCCCGACGTACTGCACAAGTAGCGCAACACCCTCTTAGCTGCATCCATGTGCTCCTTCCGGTGACGGCCGGGAGCGACATAGCGTGCAAGAATGCTGAGAGGGTATGCAAGGTCTGGTCGAGTGCAGGTCATCAGGTACATGAGGCAACCCACAAGCTCTGGATACGGGCCACTCGGCTCTACGGACTCATCCGAAGGCAGAGCTGAGAGCGAGTGACCGGTAGGCAGAGGAGTGGGCTGAGGCGAGGAGTACGTGAAGCGGAAGCGCTGAAGGACCTGCTGCACCATGTGTGACTGAGTCAAGGTGATGGTGCGGCGTGCTCTGTCCCGGGTGATCCGCAAGCCAAGATAGCTTGTCAGTTCACCCAGGTCTGTGCACGTGTGTCTCTTCTGCAGCTCCGACTTCACGTGGGCGAGTGCCACAGTGTCAGCAGTAGCAAAGACCAAGTCGTCGACGTACACAAGGACGTAGAACGGCGGCAGTGAGGTGTCGGTGCGTAGAAACAGCG